GTGTCCTGTATATAATGAAAGTCCATTTTAAAGCCATCTTCCATCAGAGCAGCTGAACATTGTTTTTAGACTGTTACTGACTCACAACACAAACACTAACAGAAAAAGTGAAGAAATTTGTGTTTAGTCAATTATTTCTTTGCGGTAACAATGCTTTTTGGCATTAAGTCTTAACCTGTGGAAAACATGCTTTGTTTCCCCTCAAATGGGGCCACATTTGTAAGGAAACTGCATTTGTGGGGTGAACAAAACTTGTCAGATCTTTTCTGCCAATACCAAACTGCCTATTCTGCTATTCACTTTTGAAAGGTGTCATTTATTGAATTGGAGGATTGAAGTCTGAAGAAACGAGACATATTTGCAATATAACAATTGATTCATTTAATAAACAGGTGCCTCAGTAGCACCTGGCAGAACCATACACAACCACAAAAGCCTGGTACCTCCTCCTGGTTGGGCTGGTCACCAGCTTGGTCACACACTGCCTTGGGATGGCATCCCATTCTTGCAAGTCAGCCAATGTAGCTGTGTTGTTGACTCTGCCATGAACAGCATGCCCAACTGATCCCACAGTATATAGTAACAGAAATGATGACTTATTTACCTGAGCTGTGAGATATAAGGCAGACACTCAAGGAAACTCTTCACTTCACTCTCTTCATGTGAGCAGCCTCTCAGCTCCACTTGCTTCTTCTCTGGATGGAGTTTCAGCACTTCCAGGAGGATGGAGGTCTTTCTCTCTGAGAGGTTTATGGACCAGACTGCAGGAGCTGACTGGAAAACTGACTGTAATGATGGAAGGACACTCAAGCCTGGTTTAGACTCATAGGCCTTCATATGGGAGTACAGATCCAACAAGAAGTCACACTGATATTCATCAGAAATGTCTCTGTCATTAAAAGGGAATGTTTGATATGCGCACACTGATGATAACAGCTCCAGTATCTTCTCTCCTGTCTGCTGTTCTCTCTCTGCTGCTGCACAGAACAGATTAATCAAGGTTCTTTTGGTTCCTTCATAAAGATCTGACCACCAAGGAACAACACTGGAACAATAAGAAGGAACGATTTAGTGATGATTTGATCTGAGCTGCATAAATACAACCACACA